TGTGTTCTTTGTTTTCTTTCTGTTTGGTTTTTTTTTGTTGTCTCTTTGCTCCCCTGTTTTTTCTCTCCCCCCCCCCCCCCACTGTGTGTGTGTATGTGTGTTTCCATCCCCTGGCAGATGTCCTTCCCTGTGTAACTGGATGGCCACAGGTAGAAGCCTGGGAGGGAGCTCTGATTCGAGTGGCACTGGGCAGAGGTTGAGCATGGGACATGGTAGGGTCACTATGTGAGCTAAAGTCATTGTTAAAACAAAGGACATTGTAAAGTGACAGTAATTGTCCTTAAAGGATGCCACTTTGAATTTGCCAGTCCAGGCTAAAACTGAATCAGACTCTGGGATACTATCCCAGTCAGTTCACAGCAAGGATGAGAAACAATCGCTATCATCGTTATTGTTGTTCTCTAGTGTGCAGGTGTGTGTTTTCATGTGTGTGTGTGACCTGTCACATGAATGAGTGTGCACATGGAAGCCATAGATAGACCTCAGGTGCTGTCTCTCAGGACCCACTTACTTTATGTTTGAGAACAGGATCTCTTTCAGGGACCTGGAGCTCTTTGTAGGCTACACTGGCTGGCCAAGGAGCCCCAGAGACCCTCCTGTGTCTGCCTCCCCAGCTTTTTACATGGCTCTTGGGAATGAACTCAGGGCTATATGCTTGTGGGGCAAATACATTTTTCTGACTGGCTCTTCCATCCCTGTTATTTAATTAACTGTCACAATCATTAACTCGAAGACCCCAGTGAGGAAATGAGGAGAGCTGGTACTAGGAACATTTGATCCAAACCTCTAGTACTTGTAGGTTCCTAGTAGGTATTGACCATTAAACTATGAAATGGGGCTAGTGATTCCCATTGATCATGTGGTTGAAATGTGGCTAGTGATTCCCATTGACCATTAAACTATGAAATGTGGCTAGTGATTCCCATTGATCATGAGGACACTTGTCACATACTGGTTAACAAAGTACGTTCATGGCACTGAGTCCTGTGGTCCAAGTGCTGGCTCTGACATTGCATCAATTGCTTTTCCACAGCTGGAACTAACATCCTTTGGAGACCAACAGAAGGGAGGATGGTTTGTTCTGGCTCATGGTTTCACAGGGTCCATCCATAGTTCTCTGTTGATTCTGGGATGTTGCTGAGTCAGGGTATCATGCTGGTGGGAGCATGGTGAGGTTGTTGACATGTACAGGGAGGGTCAGGGGAGGTGGGGAGGACATCTGCCAGGGGATGGAAACACAAACCATACCACCGGCTTAGATGAGACATCAGCATTTCCTTCTGCATTTCCTTCCTGGGATGACCAAGGTGGAAGTAGCCATCAATCCTGGAACCAATGTCACCGAGTGTCTCATTCATTACCTGGTATTTCTGCTGTTTCAGTGACCTAAGCTGTGTTCTGTGGCTTTGGGGATTGGTAGCAAAGGGCTGCTGTTTCAGTGACCTAAGCTGTGTTCTGTGGCTTTGGGGATTGGTAGGAAAGGGCTTTCTTTGTTCCATAGGCAAACTGTTCATATTTGAACCTCAGATATGAGGTTAAGAACAAAAGAAAAGCAAAAGGAGAGAACTTAGAGATGCAGGTGTGTAGCTACATCATTCTTTGGGGCCTATGAGTGTGAGTGTGTGTGTGTGTGTGTGTGTGTGTGTGTGTGTGTGTACATATATGGTTTTTGAGACAGCATCTCATGAAGCCCAGATTGGCCTCAAATTTCTTAGGTAGTCAAGGATAACTTTGAATGTTTGTTTCTCCTGCCTTCAGCTCACAAGGTCTGGCATTACAGGACAGTGCACAATGCCTGGTTTGTGCAGTGCTGGGGACTGAACCCAGGGCTGCACAGGTGTTAGGTAAGCACTCTGCTAAGGGAGCCATATCCCTAGGCCACTCTGAGGGTGTTGCTCAACAATGACAGGGCTTCAGATTCTCAATACAGCAAAGGAACAAACATAGACTGACTCCATTTCTCCTAGGAGATTAACTTACCAATCAATGACCTCAGTCTAGCCCCCTGTTTGCTGGTGAGTCACGTGAGAGCCAGGAGAGAAATGCATTTTCTAAGGGCTACCTCCAGTCTGAATCAAAATTCAGTATGGCTGGGAATGTAGCCAGTGGTAGGTCATTTGCCTAGCATGTGATCTGTGGATTTGATCCCCAACACTGCCAAAATCTGAGCCTGGAATCCAAGTTTCTAGACGTTACAGAGTCCCAGATTCATCCTGTTTTGCCAAAACAAATTTCTCAGCTTTCTCAGGCTCCCCTCCCTTTCTTTTCTACTCTTCTAATACCAGAACATATTTTGTACCAAAGATACCACATCCCAGCTCTGGAAGAGTGATTCAGCTCTGCTTCATGGGTGGAATGTTTCCAAGAGACCACACACAGAAATGCCAACACAGGCCATGGAGGGAGAAAAAAAACCAATTCTGAGGGCAGGGAGGAAAAAGCTGTGTGCTCTGGGTTCTGGGATGGACAGGAGGGTCTTCCCGGGAGGCTGGGGGACATGCTGAAAATATGAGGTTACTCTGAGGGCCTGAGGAGACAGAAGCTCTTTCTACATTTAGACTCCATGTGGAGGACTGGACACCTCAGCAGAGGGAGGTCTAACCTGCCTTGTTGAACCCTTCTTCCATCTCTTGGTGACATTGACAGTGTTGTCAGTGGTGATGAGGATGACATCAATGATGATGGTCATTTTGTTTTTCAGTGCTAGTCTTATAATTCAGGACCTACTGTGTGCTAGGCCAATTCAGGACCTTTTGTATTGTGCTAGTGGACAACTTGTCCAATGTGGCCCCATCTCATCCTAGCCCCGGCTTCACTGGAACAATCCCAGCACTATGATGGCCATCTTCACAGCTATCATTCACTGGTCCTTAAAAGGTACCACAATCAACAAATGACAATAATAAGAGAAGCATCATTTTATTACATCCTCAATCCACTCTCACAGAAGAGTTGTGACACATGGTATTCATCATGGAGCCGAGGATGTGGCTAGGTTGCTGGAACACTTGCTTAGCATGCATCCCCAGCACTCATAAAACAGGCATGCTGGAACAGTCAGGACACACCTGAAGGAGGGTCAGAAGTTCAAGGTCATCCTTACACAGCAAGTTTGAGGCCTCTAAGACAGTCAGGTATATGAAAAACAAAATGCCCCTATGGTCTGGACACATGAGCAATTACTTTCTATATTTCTACAATGATGAGGTATTTTGTGACTTCATGTATTTATTTATTGACACTACAGATATCCTGGGGTACTGGGGTAGAAATATGGCTCAGACAGGTGAGAGACTTGCTCAAAAATCAGAAAGCCAGGCTAGTGTAGCCTTACTATCAGGACAGTCATTTGAAAATCAACAATGAAAAAGGAACCAGACCACTTGGGTGTGGTCTGCTTTGACCTATGTAACAAGCAAAGCATTTCTAAAAAGTAGTTGCAGCCATTTCAATGTTGAGTGACATCTCTGCATCTTGATGAATGCCTCTCTTTGAGATGTCAGCAGATGGGGTGAAGGCAGGCAGGCCTCAGAACCACAGCAAGAACCATATGGCTACCACCTCTTGCAGTTGGATAAGGTCTCTGTGCTGTAGAGCCAGTCCTGTCAACCAACCTGTGTCTGGGAAGCCACAAAGCTTGTGACTCCTCAACCTTCAGGGGCCAGACTTTATCTTATATAACCCCACATGACAAAAGAACTTTCCATATTGCCTGTGGACAACTTCTCCAATATGCCTCAATCTCACCCCATCCCCAGGAATAAATATCCAGGATATAGTGCCATGACTTCATAGGAGAAACAAGATTCTAATGAGACAGAAACATACTGAGCATAGTAATGGATGAATGGCAATACTCTACTTTGAGCTTTATGGTATACTGGTGTGTGTGTGTGTGTGTGTGTCTGTGTGTGCTCTCATGTGACATGTATGTGCACATGTGTGTTGCTTGTATATGTGTTTGTGTGTGTGCAAATTTCTTATTAGAGGTTGACATCAAGAGTCTTTTACAATTGCTCTCACTGAACCTGGAGCTCACCCATTTGGCTAGACTAGCTAGCCAACAGTTCCAGGGATCCTCTTGTCTCCACCTCAGTGTTGAGACAATGACTGCCTCTATATGCATTAGGCTTTTTACAGAATGCTGGGGATATGAACTCAGACCCTCACATTGATGCTGCAAGCACTTTGTCAATGGAACCATCTCCCCTGCCTCATGGTCTTGTCTCATGGGGACTGAGTTGGGAGGGAGGAGGAGGCTGTGGGTCAGGAGGGAGGTGGCAGGCAGGAGTAAGCAGAACAGGAAGAAGTTCCTGGTGTTCTCTCTCTTTGCTGGTTTCCTGCAGCCGCCTCTGCAGCTGCCTGTGGACTGTGGGGCTGTTTTCCTCTGAGCTGGAAGGAAGTGCTCTCATCACCCACGACAACAGACTTGGCTCAAGGAGCCAAAAACGTGCACAGACCCCAGAGGCAGGAAGACCAAAGAAAGCCCAGTCTGAGACAGCGTGCTGCTCACTGCTTACAAAGCTCCAGCTGGGAGAAAGGGACAGGACAAGGCTAGAGGAAGGGAAGGGGATGAAGAGCACCCCAATGGACAATGAACTCCTTTCTCCAGTGAATAAGCAACTCTCCTCAACTCTGTCTCAATGCCTTTGTTTCTGAAACGACCAATTCTACACCCAGAAAGCCCAACTTGTCAGACCTCCTGCCAAGGTCAAGCAAGAGCCTGAGATCCCCAGGCAAGTTGATAATTGACACCCAGGGGACAACTTCTGTGCTAATTCCTGTTGGGCTGAGCCAAAGCCCACAATGATTCTCTTTATTTCTATGCCTTTCTGTACTGGGTAGGAGGGGGCACTAGCTCACATGTGTACCATGCTGGGTGTTTCTGCAGGCTCCATTCAGGGGACAAAGTGCTTCCTTCCCAAGAACTTCAGTGAGACATCTGCAGGGGAGGGTGAGAAGGAATGGGAGACACAGACCCTAGTTAAAAGTCTGAGTTCTCCAATGGCAATCATTCCCTCCACAGTGGAATCATCCCCAGTGCCCCAGTGCCTCTGTGTGGAGGGCACTTTGCAACTCTGGCTACCACAGATTTTGCAGAAGTAGCAAATGAACTGGGACTGGCATGCCTCACTCAGCTCAGGACTTTAATCAGCCTGTATGATGCTTTAAGAATAGGAGAGTGACACTGGGTGCCAACTTTCACATAAAGATGCAAAATTTTCAAGTTTTTTTTAGGAGAATTGAAGCTCTGATAACACACACCTAGCATCTCCCAAAGGCACTACCCACCTGGGCTCAATAACAGCCTCCCCTCTGGGAAGAAGCATGGGCCCAGCAGTTTGCCAAGGTACCTGTGCCAACACAATTTCTTCACTTGGGATGCTCTTTTGTGGTGAGAATGGGGATTTATGGAAGTGTGAACTGGGGTTCGTAATCTCTGGTTTAGTGGGTCCTAAAGTCATGCCCAGTGGTTTCAGAAGGAGAAACTGGGCTTAGCAAAAATCTGCAAACAATGGAACATGAGTTGGCCATTAATCAAACTTGCCTACAATGTCCAGGGATGATACAGCCTAAAAAAAGCATGTGATATACCCAGGAATACTTGGTTAACAGCAGTCTATGCAGCCAGAGGAGCACTGCTTTCAATGGCTGCTTTCTCACCCGGATCCACACATCCATTCTTCAGCTCCAAATGGCACCAAGAAAGTGATCATTGAAATAAAGCCAGCCATACAAACTGTTAGGATGCCTCATGTATAACATGATACTACATTAAGTATACAATGGCATTATTTCCAACAGCAGGCACACAACTTACTTAAGAATCAGTTGATGAAAATGCTAATGATCACCAGAGTTGTTAGTGCTCATGGACTTGCCTAACAGGAGGTAGCCACAGTTCTTCAGTGTGAAAAATGAATACAGTATCTGCAAAGTGCAATAAAGCAAAATGCAATAACATGAGGTATGTTAGTACTGTTTGGATAACTTTCCCTATTTCCCCAAGGCTAATTATTGTCTCCTTTATTTGGATGCTTAATGTAGTCAGCTTGGGGCTGTTCCATGGAACACCCTGGGTGAATACTTACTGTCTCTAAATCCAGTGGATCTCAAACCTTGTTAGGTTGCAGTCAACGAGGCAGATGGAAGACAGATACTCAAAGCACAAAATGAATGGTGGGGTGTTCCCTGACTATAAGGTGAGGGACAACCTCCCCACAAAGAAGTGTGTGTACAAATGACATTGCATTACTGGTTAGTTGATGTCTATGTTAAGAAAGCAGAAAAGATACTCTTTATGTGATACATATCATAGCTGATGAACTAGGCTCCACTGGGACTATATTTTATGTACAGATGTTATAAATCTAAACTATGTTCCCAAAGCTGGGGTGGGTATACTTCAGTGAGAGAGAACATCTTAGCATGTATGCATCCTTGTGTTTAGTGTTCAGCATCACACATAAAAAATTAAAATACAGATATTATGCATGTTCTCTTCCATCCTAAAAACTAGGAGAAGATCTCCACATTGTCTGCCTAGTTTCTCAAATTTTTCTGAGTCACCCCACTCCTGGTACTAGTATTCAGTGTTTTAGGTATAAAGGTGGAGAAAGGCCAGCATCAGGTTCCCCCAAGCTGACTTTGATCTCTGAACTAGAACAGAAGCAAGAATGATTAAGAGGAAAATCATTCCATATCCACTTCTATACTTTGCATTTATAATCATTCATGCAGGAGCATCTTTAAACACCAAATGGGAGGGAATGTTACAGTTTTTCTGATCTCACCTGCTAACTGTGTTTACATGCTAACAGCATTTCTCAGGGACAATTATCTTATTACTAGTTCGCTAATCTTTTCAATCTTTCCAACACAGTTTACAGCTGCAGACTTCAAAAATTAAGGCTAATTAAGACCCTGCTTTCAGCAGGTAGAGTAAACTGCTTACACATTTTAACGGAGTAAGAGAAAAATCAGTTTGGAGAAAGGTGAGAAGGGCACAATGTCAAAAGTAGAGAGAAGAAGTTCTACAGTTTCTATCCATGGGAGGGTTCCAATGCCAGGACAGTGCTCAGGGGATTCTCTCAGAATCTCCTGCAGATCCCAAATCATCAGGGCTCAGGGTCCCTCTGTCAAATAGACCAGTGTTTGCATACAAAATGAAAGTATCCTCCTGTTTGTGCTAAGAGATCTCTGGCTTAATCATGATGTCTAATACAATGTAAATGCTGTGTAAACAGTTCTCAAACCATATTAGAGAAGGAAGACCTTAAAAGGCTATTTGTGCCTCCACTCACCAGGCAAGCACTGTCACCAGATTTTTACACACTCAGGCTAGATCATTAGCAGCTACATAAAATAAGCAGGCAGGTTAGCCATTACTACTCTGTGGGGAAGGATGGGATAGGTATGCAGATCTGTGTAGGTGCCCGTGGCAGGGGGAGCGGGGTGTGTAGGGAGGTCAGAGGTTGACTGTGGGTATCAGCCAAGTGCTGCCTACTTTTTGTAGGCTACAAGAATACATCTCTCTCTACCACTCCAGTGCTGGGATTAGAAGCACACAGCACCAGACCCAAATTTTAAAAATATAATATAGATTCTGGAAATTGAATTCAGATTCCCATGCAAGTACAGAAAGTAGTTGAAAGCTCTCTTGGTCTTGTTTTGTTTTACATATTTATT